CCCGCCCCCCCCGCCTCCGCTCCCCCCGCCCCGCCTCCCCGGCCGGCCTTTGTCGCGCGGCGGGGGGCGCGGGCCGCCGCTGTCCGCGGGCCGTAGCACCGCGAGACTTGCGCCGCAGGCCGCGGGACCCCCGGGGTGGGGGGGACCGGCGGGGGGCGCCCCGGGCGCAGGGGCTGGGGCCTGCCCCGCGCTGGGGGGAGCGGAGGCGGACCGTCCCGCGCTCGCGCGCCGAGGACTCCGCGCGGAGGCCGGGGGGCCGGGGCGCAGAGCGGGTGGGGGAAGAAGCCCATTAAGATGCAGAGGGAAGCGGTCCTTAGAGGCGCGGGGAACAAAGGCGCCCAGTGCGGCCCACTTAGCATGCCGGGGCCGTGCCGCCTGGCTCCCGGGCCCGACCCGCGGCCAAGGGGTGAGCGCCCGGCGCCCAAAAATTCCCGAGGCGGGGACAGCTTGGGAGCGCGCTCGGTGCACACCCCGGCCCAGGCAGCCGGCCCAGGAATGGGGAATGACTTAGCTCTGACGAGGGCGCTGGGCTCTGCTCTTGTTCTGGCGTGGTGACTGGCCTTGGTTATTACCTAAGGTTGTAGCAAGAGCCTCGTGGACACAACCACACGGAGAATTAAACAGATTTTTAAATGTTTTTATCTGCTTATCCTGATAAGGTTAAGCTGCAGAGAGCTTGGAGGGGCCTCTGTTTTTCCACCAGACCCTGGGATCCCTGTGAAAGCTCATGGCTCTTGGGAAGAAAACCCACCAGGTGTCAAGCTCACACGGATGAATGAATACATCCCCGGTGAGAGCCAAGAAGGGCAAGATGGCCCCTAATTGTAGATGTGTTTGCAAAAACATCAGACTCTCTTAAATCCTTTCAAAGAAGCATTTTGGGGGGGGGGAGGGAGGTCGAAAAACAATGCTCGGGATGTATTTTCAAATAGGCATTGTCTTTGGGAAATATTTGTCACTATTGATCGAATAGGCGCTTAATGATATTCATTTGGTGATCGATTGGGCAGACACTGAATGTCTGCAGTAGGCCAACTAGGTGCTGAGTGCACCATGGAAAGGAAACCACGGGGGCCCTGTCCTTCCAGAGCGTAGCCTGGAGGTGGGGAGCAGATGAGCCCAAGAAGGTGTTTGTGCTCAGGAAGCACACAACTGCTGAGGTGCGTGGGGGTGAATGAATGCAGGCAGAGAGACCGTGGAGTGATTGGGGGAAATGAGAAGTCAGCTTTGAAGAAATGAGCAGGAGGTGGACAGGCGAATGGAGAAGACCTTTGAAGTGCAGACTAACGCCTGTGGGCATTTGGCAACGAGACAGGCCAGGCCCAGGGAGATGATGAGAGAAAGGGCAATTTGGATGTCAGCTGGGCACCCCCCAGCGTCCTTGTATCAAGTAGAATGTCCCCGAGTCTCCCAACATCAAGCCAAATGAGAACCCAGCTTCTTTTCTACATACCCCAAAAGGCAACACACTCAAACACCCACATGCACTTGATACACAGTATATACTTGACTGAAGATTTCTTAAGGTAAATGCAAGAGGAGGTTCACCTTGTTCACACCACATCAAACAAGGTAAAATCCATCTTGGATGTTCCCTTTTTTGGCCCTGCTCCCCACTGACGGTTGTGTCTGGTGGCCCATCTTCATACGGGGCACCCAATGTCACCGCACCCCTGCTGCCACCGAGCTCTGCACCCTCCCACCCTCCACGCCCCTTGGAAGTCAGCAAGCCCTTCTCCTTGTGGGGTTCCCCATCGGCCATGACCTGTGGCTCCCTTTGATATCATCTGTGAACAAATGTATCTGTAATATTCGCCCTGAAAAAGAAAATTGGGGTGAACATAATGCATCACCACATACACACACATTTAACATGTCCATGCATATTTGTTGACAAGTTTTACCTCCTTACTGGGCCCAGCCCTGCTGCCCATTTTGTAAATGTTACTCTGCAGGTATCTTTAATCCTTCTCTTTGCGTTTGTCCTTTGCGATAAAAGACAGGTAGCACGCGGCCAGCTGCTGGGGGTTGGAACACTTCCATAGACCGCTTCCAGTCTGTCATGCTATGGTTTCCAGTAAGAACATGGGTGAAGTTATCAGAAGGAGACGTTTCACCCTCTCCCCCAGTCCCTGCACGTCTCAGGGTGGGTGATCTCTGCTTTTGCCCAATTCAGCCCTCACCCTGTGCAGATTAGGGACCGGAGAATCCCAAGGTCACACAGCTCGGTAGCCTGGCAAGACTTGGAACCGGGTCACCCACAGTGCTGGGATTTGGCGGCTGGGCAGGGGAGGTGTTGTGAAGGGGTAGAGAAATGGGGGATCTGGGCCCTTACCTTCTGTCTCGTCTCTCTCTCGCTCTCTGTTCTCTCTTGTTAAATAGGTAAAGACCCAGAAACATCGATTGTGGAGGACAGCCCCCACTCCTAAGTAAACAGTCTGAAATGGAGCGGTTAGTCATTGTTGAATACTGAGTGGCGTTTACACAATACAGTGGTCTCGTGCTAATTATGAGAGCTAGTAGACTGTGACCAGTTAACAGGCTCAGGAATTCCGCTCAACCTTTAAACAACCTAGAACTCTTTTAAATTCCAAAGGAGGCTGTTGAATTGGAAGCTGAGATTTGCATTTAAAAAAAAAAAAAAGGAATGAAGGCAGACCCGCTGGGCCCATAGCACGTGATTGTGATCAGTGATTGGGAGCATGCTTCTCCCAGAAACGCCCTGGGCCGGCAGCCACGGTGCGGGTGACACTCGCCGGGGGGGGGGGGGGGGGGGGGCGGGGGGGGCGCGCCGCGGGAGGTCACGTGGCCGCTGCGTCCCGTCCCATCCCTGTGAGTTCTGACACGAGAGACAGGACTCCCATTGTGCGATGTGTGATGACCCCAGGATTGTTCTCTGCTCTTCCCTTCAAGATAGCAGGAGGCAAGGAATGAAAGCAGGGCCTTCCTCTGAAAAAGAGGGCGTGGAAGGGCAGACAGACAGGCAGACAGACGGACGGGGCTGCCGTATCTGCAAGCAGGGGCGTTTCTTCTCTGCTGCACACTGCTCGGCCCCTCTCCCCGTCCCTCACCCCACCTTTCTTCCTAACTTCTTGCCCTTCGCTGGACAGAGCGGTGGTGGAGCCCCCAAGCCAGTGGGCCTCCCCGTTACTCTCAGAGGCAGGGACTGAGCCCAGAGCTGGATGGGGCCGCGGGTTTAGGGGAGCACAGGCTTTGAAGCAAGAGAGTACAGGTGTCCTCTGTCACCAACGCAGACTTCTACCCACCCTGGAGCTTCGTGAAGCCCCTTATGCCTTGCTTTCCCCACCTGTATGGCAGGTGACGCGAACCTCTGGGGAGTGCTAGCGACCATGGACTTGAATGTGGAGATGTTTGTGCTTGGTACACTTGAGAGGCTTTAGAAGGTGACTCATAGCTCAGCAGAGAAGAAGGGACGTGTGGCAGGACGCCCCAGGCCCCTGAGAGAGAGAGAGAGAGACAGATGCAGAGAGAGAGATGGAGACAGAGACACGGGAAGGGGCCGAGTCTCTTGTTCTGCCTCGGGGAGAGTGGGCAGAGGAAGAAGGGAAAGGAGCAGGCTGTCAGACCCACGTGCTCTGACTTCCATCTTCTGGCCTGAGTCCCTGGAGTTTCCATCACCTCCAATGAGCTGATGGAAAAGCCAACAGCTGAGGGCTTTCCCCCATTCAGAAGCCCAGGGAGGGAGACCGCACAGGATGGTTCTGCAGGGATGGAGGGATGCGGCCGGAGAGCTGGGCCTCACATGGCGCTCTTGGCTCCCTGGGGCCTCCGCGTGGTGTGCCGGGGATGCTTGCATTCCCGCAGGCGACGGGACACGAAGGTACTGAGTCTAGGCGTCCAGCCTCCTGCGTGAGGGGGGCCAGCAGGCCTCAGGGAGCAGGGCTCAACGAACAAGGCTCCAAACCAGGGCCACAGATTTCAGCAGTAATCCAGGCCTCCTAAAGATGCCTTCAGGTTCGGCGGCCAGGTGACCACCCCAGCTGCTCAGAACGGAGGGGAGCAAGAATCCTAGGGCCCTTGCTCCCCACCAGCTGGACACCACCTGGAAGAGGGGGTGGCATGATAAGGACCTCGGGAGGACCCTGCATTCCATCTCAAGGAGACCACTGTCTCCAAAAGAGATGCTTTTCTGTGCTCATGGTGAGAGTTTAGTGGGTTCAAAGGAGTCTAGGGTGAGTGGATTTCTGCCCCTGCCGCGTGGTACAAAGGGACGGTCTGAAGTTAGAACATAACAGACACACACATCTACAGTGAAAATGCCCCATCTGTGAACTCTGAGGGATCAAAACCAAGTAGCGAAGTGTGCACATGCTGCTAGAGACTCAAGAAGAAATGAACAAAATACCCCACGGCCAGGTAGACTTCAGCCAAGCTCTTCCAGCATGTGAGAGATCTAATACACAGCAACTCATGATTAACGTGACATGTGCCGATTTGAG